GCATGAACTTTTAGATTTAACTGACCCCTTAAATTATAGCCCCCTTCCCTTTCATTAAATAACTTTTGGATTCCACCAGGTAATAAGTCGTTCCTGGCTTTATACATAAACACAGCGGTCTTATATCCTACTAAATCAAGGAATTTTAACAATTTAGACTGTATGAAAGCTACATTGGTGTGATCCCTATACCCCATCTTGTGCACAATTCTGATCGCTCTTTTTTGTAATATGTACAATGGTTGCAGTGAACGTTTGTAAGTGTTTCCCCAGTTTTCAACGCCATACTCCAAGTAAGGCAAAATCAATGAAGAATACAAAATGCGAAATGCTTTCACGTCCAGCATATATCAAACCCTTGCCATTATCGATATGTTTTTAGCTATTTTATGCTGAACATATCTGATATGAGATTTCCAGGAGAATCTGTCGTCAACCATGACACCCAGAAATTTGATTTCATATACTCGTTCAATGTTAGCACCCCCAATTTTTAATTGAAGTTCATTATGTGGTCTACGATTCCCAAATACCATATATTTAGTTTTCTCCAAATTCAAAGAAAGTAAATTACTGTCACACCATTTCTTTATCTTCACAAATTCCTCTGAAACCCTTACCGAGAGTTGCCGTAAGTTTTCATCAGATGCCCACATGGTAGTATCATCAGCAAACAAACATTTTGAACACATATTCATTGTATTAACCGAAAACAATGTTTTACAAATGCCCCATCATGTGCAGTATGATTACTCTTAAAACTAGAGATGTCCTAAGCTCAGTGTTGGGAAATAACTAGTTACTGTAATCAAATTAAAAAATAAATGTAATTGTAATCAGTTACAGTTAGTGAGAAAACATATGTAATTAAAGTATAGTTACCAGTCAAAATATCACTTATTACAAAGGGGTTACATCTGAATATAGGCATACTTTTCATTATGGAATGCATAACAGGTCATTATTCATTTCACTGAAGTGAACAAACAAACATGACATAAAATACATATATGCTATATTTTATGAAAACTTGTATTCTTATATTAACTTTGGATGTGACATTAATATTCTCTGTTATTAATGTTTGTATACCTAAATGGATGTGGATTTGGCAATGCAGTATGGGCAGAGAGGCCTTTTATTCCTTAAATAAATCATTTTTGTTCTGAATTTAAATGTATCTGAATATTTTCTTTTGAGAAAAAACATATTCCTGGGACAAATTTAAAGGTAGGGTTGGCATTTCATTTCAGAAGCATTTTTGATACATTTCTTGAAATTCTCTTTTCATCCTAAAAAAAAATCTATCATCCGTGGCAGTAGGAGGGGTTTTGCTTGATGTCTGTTCAGTAGGCTATATGTTTCAAGAGTAATATTTTATGCACCTGAAGTTAAAGGACCTGTTAGGTAATTTCTTAGTCAGGTAGATATTGATTAGATACTTGTTGTATAGGAATGTTTAGTGTAGCCAGGATGTCTAGCTCAGGCTGTTAAATGCTTAGTTCATTGTCATGAGCAGTTGTGCATAAGCTAGCTGATACTATGCATTTGAATGTGTGTTGAAGTGTACCACCATTTATAGTATAGATATTGGTTATGTTAGGTAATTTCTTAGTTAGATAGATATTGATTAGAGATCTGTTGTATTAGAAAATGTTAGTGTAGACAGGATGTCTAGCTCAGGCTGTTAAATGCTTAGTTCATTGTCATGAGCTTGCTGCAGGCTGCATGTGGGCCCCAAGGTCAACTAGATTGAAGAGTCTGCAGGCAGGATGAATATTGCTAGTAGCATGATATGCCCAGCCGTAATCTTAATCATAACATTTTCCGAGGCTTACTGTTCGGACATGTCCCTGAATGTCCTGTATGTTTTTAGATACACACCACTAATCAACAGCCACACACTTTAATTTTCTCCATGTTTTGACTACTGCTCTGGTCAGCTGCCAAGCTGGCATATCAGGTGACGTCACGGTTTGACGTTGCCTGCGTAG